GAGAGTCCAAAGACTGGGAAAAAATATTTGCCAACTGTATGTCTGACAAAGGCCTAACATCTAGGATCTACAAGGAACTCAAGCATGCTGAAAAGAAAAAGAAAAAAAAAACAGCTCAATTACAAAGCGGGCAAAAGATATGAATAGACAGTTCTCAAAATAATACATATGAGCAGCCAACAGATACATGAAAAAATGCTCAGCTTCACTAGTCATCAAAGAAATGCAAATTAAAACTACACTGAGATACCACCTAACTCCAGTCAGGATGGCCATCATCAATAACTCAAAAAACAACAGATGCAGGAGAGGATGTGGCACAAAGGGAACACTTCTACACTGTTGATGAGCATGTAAACTAGTACAGCCTCTGTGGAAAAGTGTGGTGAGTCCTAAAAGATTGAAAAACCGACCTTCCATATGACCCTGCAATCCTCCTCCTGGAAATATGCCCGGAAGAACTCAAATCACTCTATGAAAAAGATACCTGCACACGTATGTTTATCACAACATTGTTCACAGTAGCAAGAACATGGACCCAACCATGCTGTCCATCAAAAGAGGACTGGATTTTTAAAAATGTGGTACATATGCATGATGGATATAATGCAGCTATAAAGAAGAACAAAATCATGAACTTCCCAGCAGCCTGGATGGACTTAGAGTCTATAATACTGAGTGATCTTTCACAGAAACAAAGAACTGAGTATCACATGTTCTCACTCATAAGTGAACCTTCAACAATTATTGTAATACTATGAGAAAAGGATTGGCAGTAGTGGGAAACTGCCTGGGGAAGGGGAGCATACCTTATCAACAAGGGTACCTGCATAATGAACATTTGTATACCTAACCCTCAATTGTACCCCACATCTTTAAAAAAATTAAAAGAAAAAAAGATAACAGCGCACACATGTTTATTGCGGCACAATTCACAGTAGCAAAAATGTGGAACCATTGAAAGTGGACTGGATAAAAAACATGTGGTACATATACACAATGGAATACTATGCAGTCATAAAAAAAGACAAAAATATGGACTTTGCAGCAACTTGAATGGATTTGGAGTCTATCATACTCACAGAAACAAAAAAACTGAGTCCATATGTTCTCACTCATATGGACCCTGAACACCTATCATAATACTACAAGAAAGGGATTGGCAGTAGTGGGACACTGCCAAGGGGGGAAGGGAGGAGGGAGAACACATCAGTAAGGGTACATGATCTCATTCCAGGCAAAGTGAGGCCCAAACTTCACCTGTACGTAGATGACTTATATACCTGATCTTGATTTGTACCCCACATCTTTAAAATAAAAAAATTAAAAATTCTTCATTTTTACATGTTGACAGCTTAATAATAGTTCCTTTAAGATGTCTATGTAGGCCAGGTTCGGTGGCTTAGCCTGTAATCCCAGCACTTTGGGAGGCCAAGGCAAGTGGATTGCCTGAGCCCGCGGGCTCGAAACTCGCCTGGGCAACTTAGCAAGACCTTGTCTCTACAGTAAATCAAAAATTAGCCAGGTGTGGTAGCTTGGGCCTGTAGTTCTGGCTACTTGGAAGGCTGAGGCAGAAGAATCGCCAGAGCCCAGCAGGGTGAGGCTGCGGTGGCCGGGAGCATGCCACTGCACTCCAGTCTGGGCAACAGTGTGAGACTCCAACTCAAAAAAAAAAAATGTCTATATAGGACTAGCAAACACATCTGATACCCAGATTCAGTTGTAAGCTGCAACTTTGTAGCTGGCATTTCGAGAAGTAACGTATTAGAGGTTAATAGCAATACCCTTTTTTCTTGAATCTTATTTCTAGAGTAACAGAGTTCCTTTATAAAGAATCAGTCACCTCTCTCTGTATCCTTTAGGATATATCACATACAGGGGCCAGAAAATCTGGGCCTTCACTGGGCCTCCAAAATGCCTGTGTTTCCAAAGCTTGCTCTCGGTCAGAGGTCAGCCTGGTAATGAGGCCTTGTGCTCATGCCAACGCCAAGCTGACTACCTTCCAAGTTCTTCCAGGCTCCACTCCTGGACTCATCTCTTCTCACCCATGATGTTTTCTGCCATGGTGACTCGTGACTGACCCCAACCTGCCCTGTCATTCCTTGTGATCACAGGACTGGTTGGAGACACACCCTCCTCAGCCCCTGTCCTTGCTCACTTGGGTTTTAGCTTTCTCACTCTCAACAGGACACTGACTGCCTATGCTGTCCTCTCCATAGGGCTCAAAGGTAGAGGGAATCCTTTCTCCCATCACCCCATCTGCCTTTTAGAAATGCACAAAAGCATTTTTGTGGGCATGAGCCCACAAAAGGTGAGCTCATGCCTTCTCAAGGGCAGCAATTCTCTCTGTCTCCCTTCCTTCCTCAAGTGTAGGATCTTTTGCGTGTGTGGAAGGAGGATTTGGCAAAGTGCTAGACTAGCCTGATGCTGTGCTGCTGGTGGCCCCGTGTTTCCTGTGAAACCTGCAAATACTGTTAAGCACAATTCTTAAAGGGATGGTAGTGTCTCCTGCTGACCCTCCCATGCCCCTTGGCTCTGCACAAGGCTTGCCAACAGAGGCTTATTCAAGGTCCAACTCCACACTCCACTTCAGACATTAAACAGAGTATGAAAGAGCACAGAAATCCTGGGCCCTTACGTGATCACAATGACCTTAGTGTTACCTGACCATACAGAAGTGTTCACTCACCATAGTTTACCTACCTACTATGGCTTCTCCTGCCTTGAATGAATTCCTCACATGGGCATTCTAATGATGTCTCCCAGATTACATATAGTGCTACAATAAGTCATAGCTGTAAGAAAAAAAAAAAAAAAACAGTTTTAAACACCAGACAGCCATTTAACCAACATGTCAAGATCTGAGGATTGTGATCAGTTCCCTGCCATCATCCATCCTAGTGGCACTTACTTTTGAAACTGGACTATGAAAAAGCTTATCCTAGACACAAAGATGCTTCACTTCAGGGAGGTAAGAGGGTGATGATTTCACTATCATGTGATTACCTAAAGATGACTTTCCATCTGCAGCTGCTGGGGAGAGACCTGCCTGCTATGCAAATGCATAGAAGAGAAAGAGATGATCTTGGCTAGGGAGGGGAGTACTTCATGTATGGGTGGGGGGTATCTCGAAAGCAGGGTATCTGGAAATATGAGGTTCAGTGGGCATCATAGAGCAAAGAAGCCGTCCTGGATTTGGATGAACACATCTTCCAAAAAGCCCTGAGCACAACCCTGACACAATTTCCTTCATTCTTAGGATATGCCAGTGAAATAGACAAAAGCCAGGTTGAGTCCTTCTACTTAGAGGCAGAGAGAGGGCAAGCCACCAGGCAGGTGGAACAGAGAGGAAGCCAGAGTGGGGTTGGCCTGGCTCATTACTCTACCTGTCTTCTTCCTCTGCCTGGCACTCGCCTGCCTCTCCACAGGGTTCAGGAGGCTGTGATTCTCATAGCCAGTGACTTAAGCACTGAGCAGTCACCAGAGAACCAGGACCAACTGCACCCTCGCCTTAGGGATGCATGCCTGCATGTCTGGTGTCAGGGAAGGAGAGAGATGCTGTTGTTTATTTAGGGCTACCCTGTGTACTGTGATGTGTAAAGCAGTAGTTTACAGACACACGTCAATTTAAATTTTTGTGAAAAACAAAAATGGAGAGACTCTTATTATCCCCATTTTACACATAAAGAAACCTATTCAGAAGAAATAGATGAGGTCCAAGATCATATGACCAGAAACAGATTAACTGGTATCTTGAATCCAGACTCTTGGATCCCGTTGTTGAAACTGGCTGGGAAGCCCCTGACCAGCGCCCTGTGGAGGCCCAGTAGGCAGAAGAGGGTGGCACTTGAGGACCAAAAGAGTAGTGACAACCTCAAAAGTGGACACTCAGAGGCAAGGGAAAAGATTGTTACAATACCTGCTGTGACAGTTTGTTTTAACTTAGTATACAGAAAAAGAAATTTCAAAAAGTATCACGTATGCTTTTGCATTCATTATTTGGAGCAAAATCGCACATGTTATTCTTATATTTTCCAAAGCATGTATCAGGTCACCAAAAATTCTTTGTTGCTCTAGCAAATACATGATCATTAAAATGAATAGGTATTTAATCTGAAAATAAGACTGATAATTGTGTCTTAAATGAAATACATTTATTAGTAAGCCTATCCATTAATAACTATTAACCATTCAGAACTTCTTGAATTGGCTGTTAGCCAGATCATAGGTTTTATATATAATTACAATTTAATTTGCCTGTGTTCTCAAGAGAGGACAGAAAGATATATTCAGAGCCCCAGCAAATAATCTCTGCCTGAAGTCCTCTTTTGGAATGAGGCAGGGTTTAAAAACATAAGAAATGAAATTTACCCGACCAAAATTCCTTTTTAAAATTTTTTCTTATGGTTTCCCCATCACTCCTCAACCTCCACATAAAGCCTCTTTCCCATTAACTTCATGGCAGCCAGTGTGCCCCTTCTCCATCCCTGTTGCCATCAACCTCTGACTGTAGACCTTCTCCATCATGAATAAAGCCTCCCGCACTTCAGTCAGAGTCTGCAGCTGCACTTCAGTTTCTAGCAACACACTGGGCATTCAACACACCCAGGAGGCCCCCAGTCAACTCTCTCCCTCACAAGACTGTCCTGCTCAGAGTCAGTAAGTATGCCTTTCTCCTCCATTGCAGCCAGCTCCTCCCACCAGGGCCACTGCCCACACTGTCACAACTGGAAACTGCCCCTCTGTAATCACTAAGTCAAACATTCCACACTGACCATATCTTTTACCCCTCCAGCCCTCTAAGTGTTAGCTCCTCCTGGGTGTCTCACAGATACCTCCAACCCAAAGTGACAGAAACAAAGTGGAGTCAGAAACATGCTCATGGATTTAAATCCTTTAATAGTATTTGTTGTTGACAACAGCAGGGTTTCCTCAACTATGAGACCTGTTGGCTCTGTCTGAGAGTGTGAGGATTTCTGCTATGATCTTGAATACAGTCTTCAACCATTATTCTTGGATCTGAGCATCTCATCAAAGAGGAAGAAGTCTATATCGTTCAAGAGACAGTGAGGCTCATGGTTGTGGTTTACTCCTCTCTCTCCCTCTTCTGAGGCAATATGCATCCTGCTGTTGGCTTCAGACTCTACCAGCTCCAGGACGCAATTGGTAAGGTAGGTGAGCAAGGCACGGAGGAAACGTATTTTGGAGGAACACTGGCATTGGGCATGTTGTGCCTCTTGCTGGGTAGTCCACGAAGTTCACAGGGGGTTGTAAATCGGCTCTGGAAGAAGGATCTTGTGTCTGATGACCATGTCTATAAGAGTTCTCATAGCCTTTTTTCTCTGACATGGTATTAACTGAGTTTGGCTCTGATCAGGTCTGCTTGATTTTCCAGCTGGACTAGGTCTCTGAAGAAAGTGGTGCTCAGTCTTGTATCTCTGTGCTCCAGCCCTTTATTGGTCAGAGGGCTACCGTTATGACATCCTAGACATACAGATGCCACTGGTGTCCACTGGGCCCTGACTAGGCCTCAGCCTAGAAATATTTATGATAGGAACCTTGTCACCCTAAATTTTGAGGAAACTGTAACTTTCCACCTGATTTTAACACTGTAGATATAAATATGTTTCCTTTTTTAAAAAATTATTTTAAAGATGTGGAGTACAATTCAGGATTAGGAATACAAGTGGTCATCGTACAGGTAAAGTTTGGACTTCCCTTTGTTCCCCACTTTGCCTGGTTTGAGATTGGATACCCTTATTAATGCTATGTGCCTTCTCCCACCCCTGGTAGTTTCTGGCTACTGCCAATCCCTTTCTTATAGTATTATGGTAAATGTTCAGGGTCTACTTCTGAGTGAGAACATGTGGTACTCAGTTATTTGTTTAGGTGATAAATTACTGAGTATTATAGACTAAATCCATCCACGTTGCTGCAAAGTCCGTAATGTTGTTGTTCTTTATGGCTGTGTAATAGTCCATTGTGTATATGTACCACATTTTTGTATCCAGTCCACTTTTGATGGGCAGCACAATTGGTTCCATGTTTTTGTGATTGTAAACAGTGCTACAATAAACATGCATGTGCAGGTATCTTTTTTGTAGAGTGATTTAAGTTCCTCCAGGTGTATTCCCAGAAGAGGGATTGCTGGGTCATATGGAAGGTCAATTTCTAGTTCTTTTAGAAATCGCCACACTGTTTTCCATGGAGGTTAGACAAGTTTGCATTCCCACCAACAGTACAGAAACATTCCCTTTTCTCCACATCCTCACCAGCATCTGTTGCTTTTTGTTTTATTAATGATGCGCATTCTTACTGGAGTTAGGTGGTATCTCAGTGGTTTTGATTTGTATTTCTCTAATGATTAGAGAGGCTGAGCATTTTTTCATGTGTCTGTTGGCTGTTCATATGTCTTCTTTTGAGAAGTATCTATTCATGTATTTTGCCCACTTTTTAATGGGACTGTTTGGTTTTTTTCCTTTTGGCATGTTTGAGCTCTTTTTAGATCCGGGATGCTAGGCCTATGAAACGACAATACAGAAATTCACATGGAAACATATACGAACATGAATAGCCAAAACAAGCCTTAGCAAAAGAAACAAACCAGGAGGTATCACACTTCCAGACTTTAAACTTTATTATAAGGCTACAATAATCAAAACAATCTGGTATTGGTACAAGAACAGGCATATAGACCAATGAAACAGTAGAGATTCCAGAAGCAAAACCTCAATTTCTCAACCAATTCATCTTCAACAAAGCTTCCAACAACAACCACGGGGGAGAGGAGAGCCTATTCAGTAAATGGTGCTGGGAAAACTGGTTGACCACGCGCAGAAGAATGAAACAGGACTCCTACCTATCACCATACAGAAAAATCAACTCCAAATGGATCAAAGACCTAAACATAAAACCCCAAATTTTAAGAACCTTAGAAAATGCAGGAGACATCCTTATGGAAATCAGAATAGGCAACCACTTCCTGATCAAAACCCCAAAAGCCCACGCCATAAGAGATAGGATAGACAAGTGGGACCTCATCAAATTGAAAAACTTCTGCAAAGCAAAAGAAACCATCAAGAGAGTGGGGAGACAGCCCACAGAATGGGAAAAATATTTGCCAACTGCATATCTGATAAATACATATTTCAATGGAAAACTTTGCCCTATCTTTGGGACACCACTCCAGACTATTTGTTTCTAGCTTTGTATTGTCTTTGGGGACTTTTACAACATTTTTTCAGTTGTAGGTCACTGATAAAAATGTAAAGTATAGCCAGGCTCAGTGGCTCAGCCTGTAATCCTGTGCTTTGGGAGGCTGAGGTGAGTGGATTGTCTGAGCCCGCGGGTTCGAGACCCGCCTGGGCAACTTGGCGAGACCTCATCTCTACAATAAATAAAAAAAAAATTAGCTGGGCATGGTAGCGCGCACCTGTAGTTCCAGCTACTTGGAAGACTGAGGCGGAAGGATCGCGGGAGCCCAGCAGGTCGAGGCTGCGGTGCCAGGAGTGGCCACTGCACTCCAGTCTGGGTGACAGAGTGAGACTCCAACTCAAAAAAAAAAAAAAGTAAAGTATATTCCCCAGTAGAGTTTCAATTGTTCTTCTCCTTATGAAACCAGTTTTGCCTCCATTTACAGATTAATTTCGTATTCCTAATGCATATTTCCATTTCTACTCTTTGGGTTTTCTTTTGAACCAGTTATGATATTTTTCTCTTTTAACTCATATCTGTATGAGTGTCATGATTTTACCCTGTTTGAAAAGTATATTTTAATCATTTTGAAAGTAACAATAAGATGCTCAATTGATTTACCCATAAGAACCAGGTAAACACTGTTGTTAAAGAAGTATACCTTGTGATCAATTTATACCCAGATTTGTCTTTCTTGGCTCTCCTAGGTGAAGCCAAAGCACTAAGAGATGTTGCTTCTCTTTTCTTATTTAATTTTCTTCTCACCAATTTTGTCTCTGCTTTGGTTTTGGTTCATTTACAGCCAATAACTTTCTCATTCCAAAAGAGAGAAAGTGGAAAAAAAGAAGCATCTCCAATCCAAGCAATTTCAGAATTCAACTGAGCAAAACTCTGTTAAGTGTCAAGACCTGGGAATAATACATTATGGCTTAAATCCCTTCCGTCTGATCCTATGGCATCACCTGGGGACACAACTCTGCCCTCTGATCCCCAGGTTCTGCCCTCAGAGTCATGTTCTCTTTATTTTGAATAGTAGCACATGTTTGTAGCTGAGTAGTTTTATCAGTCTGTTTTCTCCTTGTCATATATTGGAAGTCAAACAAGCTTCTTTCATTTCATCCTCTATTCCTTTCAGTCTAAGCTGGCATTGTTTCTGCCGATTTAACATTCTCAGAAACTTATAGTGCTTTTATGTATGTCACAGGGATTTATGCCATTAGACAAAAGACTCCTTCCCAGATCCCTTATGGAAAATGCCATCTCTATTCCTTGCTTCTTCTGAGAAGCACACCTCTTATCTCTTCAAAGCACCCTCTGTGTGATTACTTTGACCTTCTGATGTTTCAAAGCTGTAGCAAAAGGATATCCAGCCATACCCTTGATTTTATCTCTATAGCATGTTTTTCTGACAATGAATCCCCTAATTTTAGTGTTTTGTGGGTTTTTTTTGTAATCTGGATAGGCTAAAACTTTCTCATATCATCAAATCCTGTTTTCTTTTTGCTTAACAGTTCTTCCCTCAACTTATGTCTTTTCTCTATCATTTTACTATAAGCAGCAATTTAAAAATGGGCAATTCCTTCAACAATTTGCTTTGAAATCTGCTCAGCCAGATATCTAAGATCATTGCTTCCAAGTTCTGCTTTCCACATAGCAATAGGGCACAATTCAGTGCAGATTTCTGCCACTATATAGCATGAACTTTCTCTTTAGTTTTCAATATCACGTTCCTAATTTCTTTCTAAGCCTTTACCAGCAACAACTTTGACATTTATATTCATCAATATATGTTTATGATGATATAGGTATTTTCTAAGACAATCTAGACTTTCTCTACTATGATCATCATTTCTGAGCTCTCACCAGAAGCACTTTTAACATTCATATTTCTACCAACAGTCTGTCCAAAGTGATCTAGGGTTGTTCTATAATGATTCTCAAAATTATTCCAGCCTATAGCCATTATAAAATTCCAAAACCACTTACACATTTTTGGATAATTTTTATAGCAGCAACCTACTTCCAGCTACCAAAAGCCGTAATAGATTCCTACAGCTGCCATAAACTTAGTAGATAAACACACGTTTAGGATCTGGAAATCAGAAGACCAAAATCAATTTAATTATGCTAAAAACAAGATATCAACAATGCAATGCTTCCTCTTGAGGCTCTAGAAGAAAGTCTGTTTCTCTGCCTTTTTCAGCTTCTAGAGCTGCATTCCTTGTTTCGTGGCCCCTTTCTTCATAATCACAGCCAGAAGCATAGCATCTTGCTTCAGTGATCAATTTCCTTCTTCTGTGTTAAATCCACCTCTGCTTCCTTCTTACACAGACATGTGTGATTTTACTTAGGTCTTATCAAGTAATATAGAATAATCTCCCATTTGAAGATTCTTAGTCATATCTGTGAATTCTCTTTTGCCATATGAGGTAACATTCATAAGTGCAAGGGGTTAGAATCTAGCTACCTTTGGGGTCATTTTTTAACCTACTACAGGAGCTATTCCCAGGAAACACTGGCAGGGAAGAGAAGAATTGGGAGGGAAAAGAAGGAAAGCAAACAAAGTTTTCATTATCAAACAGCTTAATATCACTGAATAACTGTAGGGAAACAATATAGCAACACACCTTTTTGCCCCACCTTTCTAGGTTGTCATATTGTTGGGTAGAGTGGGATCCTGGGGCCTAATGAAAGGCCTCACAGGTTCTAACAAATTGAAAGTCACCAAATATGCACTTAAATGGTATGCTCTGTGGGAGTATGGGCAGGGCACTGATAGCATCTTCTATACCCAGAAATGTTTGTATACCCTCCTAATGAAGTTTTTTTCTTTCATCCTACCTCCTGCTCAGTGTTCCATTTTTTGTTTAACAAATGTTTATTGTGTAGCTACTTGGCATCAGACCCTGAGTTAGATACTGGATGGTCAGTGTTAAACAAAATAGACATCATCTCATTTCTATGCAGCATTCAGTCTAGTAGGAAAGACAGATGTTAAAACAAACAACCAAACAAATAGGCACTTCAAATTTGTTGTGCATGTTCTAAAGCATAGTTTATCAATTTTAGCACCATTGACATTTTGGACTGGATAATTCTTTGCTGTGGGACTGAAGGGCTGTCCTTGGCATAATAGGATAGTAGTATCTTTGGCC